TTTTTTGAGACAGAGTCTCATTCTGTCACCCTTGGTAGAGTGCTGTTGCGTCACAACTCACAGCAACCTCAAACTCTTGGGCTTAAGGGATTCTCTTGCCTCAGCCTCCCAAGAAGCTGGGACTATAGGCACCTGCCACTACGCGAGGCTATTTTTTGTTGTAGTTGCCACTGCTGTTTTAGCTGACCAGGGCTGGGATCGAACCCACCACCCTTGGTATATGGGGCTGGCGACCTACCCACTGAGCCACAGGTGCCACCCTGGGTAAGAGATCTTAATAGACTTATCCAAGAAAAATACATAAATAACCAACAAGGTCACGAAAAAATGCTCCACATCATGAGGGAAATGCAAATCAACACCATGATTAGTCACCACTTCACACCTAGAAGTACAAACAGAATTAAAAAGAAAGACATCAAGTGTTGGCGAGGATGTGGTGAAACTAGAACTTTCATGCAGAGGTAGCAAAAATGCAACATGGTGCAGCCACTTTAGAAAACAATTTCTCAAAAAAATTAACATGGAAGTATCATATGATTCAGCAATTCCACTCCTAACTATATACCAAAGAGAAACAAAAACCTATGTCTACACAAAAACTTGTATGTAAATGTTCAGAGCAGCACTATTCATAATAGTCAAAAAGCAGAAATACTCCAAATGCCCATCAACTGATAAATGGGTAAACATAACGTGATATCCATATGATGCAATATTATTCACTCATAAAAAGGAACAAGGTGCTTATACATGCTGCAACATAGATAAACCCTGAAAATTTTATAAGAAAGCTAGTCAAAAAAGACCCTATGGTGTGTGATTCCATTTACATGAAATGCCCAGTATAGGCAAATCCGTAGAGGCAGAAACAGATTAGCAGCTGCCAGGGACTAGACGGGTCGGAAGTGACTGCAAACAGTTTTCTGTTTGGCGTGATGAAAATGTCCAAAACTTGATTGTGGTGACAGCTGCACAACTCTGTGAAAACCCAGTGAATTGTACACTTCAAATATGTGAATTGTATGGTACACAAATTGTACCTCAATAAAGCTGTCATAACGGAGGAAGGGCTGGTCCCCGAACAAGAGCCTCGGTTTCATTTGTGAGCTTGTTAGACCTCGGGACACACAGAATCCGAAGCTCTGCAGTGGGGCCTAGTAATGTGCATTTTAGCAAGTCCTCCAGGTGGTTCTGAAGCTCCCTAACGCTGGGAAACATGACTTAGAACAATGTTTTTCAATCTTTTTTATCTCACGGCATGCTTGAATCTTAAAATTATGTTGATTTTTAAAAAGTGAAATAAAAAATAATGTTATGTGCTTTGAACTTCTTTCAAAAATAATTTAATTAACTATCTTTAAAAATTTTCACGGCACACCTAGGATCCTCTTCTGGCACACCGGTTCCCTTGGCTATGCACTGGAATTGCCTGGGGAACCAACTAAGGCAGACTCCCCAAGGATGAAGCTCAAGCATGGGAGTGTTTTTAAGTGTCCAGGTTGATCTCCTGTACGGCAGGGTGGGAGCCTCTGGACTAACAGGGTGTCCCTCAGGACCTACCCTCCAGGCAGGAGTGGGTCCCTGTGGCCTCAGGGCCACATATGTCTTTCTGGATCCTTGAGAATAGAGTGGCCTTTTGATTGAATCCAAATTTTAATGAACAAATCCTATTAATAAAGAAATTATGTTCTGTGAAGTTAGGATTCAATTAGCGGGGCCACACACTTGGGGATCTAGGGAGCCACCTGTGGCTGCAGGTTCCCAACTCAGCTCATTGGGGTCACCTGTGGCCATACTGGGAAATGGCCCTGCATCTTGCCTCTGGCTCCTCCAGAGGGTCCTGGGATGGGCTCAAGGACCCCAATCCTCCCACTACTAAGGTTGGCATCACCCTGGCCTCCGGAATGGGGGCGGGCGGCTGGCGGCTAAAGGTGAGAACCCTCCACTGGCTCTGCTTCCTCCCTTCTCATGAAAACACAGCCATTGTAACCACCTGTAAACTGCCCCAACCACACCACCCTTCCTTCCCCACTGCCAAGGGAGGAGAGCTGACCTCCCCATTCAGACTCATCTGGACAACTGCCAAGACTATGTGGGTATCAAGCCACCTTCACAACTCATTTAGCAGCCTCCTAGACTCTGACATGCCCTCCCTAGGTCTCTCCAGCGGGACTGTCTAAGGCCAGCCCCATAGGAACTCTCTATTCTCCCACTCAATACCACTCAGGCCCCACTATACCCCTTCTGTGTCCTTTGAGTGCCTTGCAATAAATATCTGGGGATGTAGAGCTCAGAGGAAGGGAGGACCCATGAGCTCTGGGAGTTGGGGTATAGAGGGGGCTCTAACAGAGCCCGATCAGCATGGAGTGGAGGGCCTGTGGGGTTTGAAACAGGGCAAGGCATCCCTTTTTATCTGCTCCACCTCCTGCTTCAGGGAGTCCTGTCACCCTATATAAGTGAGAGGAGCTCAGCCTCTCAGCTCACTGCTGCCACCTGGTGACAACGTATAGGACCACGGTGAGTGGAACCCAAAGATAACTGAAAGGAGCCTCAGGATATAATCTGTTAACAAGCCGGGAGAAAACAAACCATCTTCCCAAGTTCAGCAAAGTCCATCTTCTGAACCTCCTTAACCACCTTTTCCTCTCCACATTTGGCAGCTTCTGAATCTCTGCAAAGCCCCCTCCCAACTGACCTCTGGTCCTGGACCCAATCTGACCCTAGATGCCCCCTCTGCCTCCAGCCAGGCACCCACTGTTTGCCCTAGTCAGGGTCTGACCCATGACCCTGAGCACAGGCTAGCCTGATATAGTCATTTCCTGAACATGTGCCCGGGTATAAGCTAAACACAGCTTTGAGCAGACCCCTCTCTGCAGGGGCCACAGAAGCTGCCCCCGAGACTCGCTGGCAGCAGTGGAGAATGTAAGG